TTAAAAAGTTAACATAATTGTAGTTCGTTTGGAAAATCATATCTATTTGATATATTCTAAAACTTCAGTCCCTTATTATTAATTTAGCTAAAATACGAAAAATTCTTGAAGTCTTTGATTGTATAAAAATTATAACTAAAGTTGTTATTCGATGATAATTTTGAGAGGCAAACAAGAAGATATTTTCATACGCCACCATTCCGCCAAAAATATAGTCCCTGCTAGTTTTCAAACGCAGTTTACCATTTCTATTTAAAGTTGTACAATTGTGATGAGGAAAGAAAAGTATGGTCTTTTAAATCTCTTTCACCTAAATAAATGAGACATATAAGCAAATATACCTTGAATATTTCATCTACTCAGAAACCAGAGAAAAATCCTACTTTAATACAACAGAGACTTTCAAGACCGGTTCGTGGAGAGAAATATTCGCGATGGCGAGGCTCTCGCGAACTTTGCAAAAATTTCTCGCACACTAATAAAAGTTGGTTTACAGTAAATTATTACAAAGTATAACATAAAGAACTTTTAATGTAATTTATACTTATTTTATCATTTTATTTACCTGTTTTATGTTTTTCATTAGCAGTGAACTATAAAGAGATAACGAACAATACTGAAGATCAAATAATAATTTAAACAATGAAAATCAGGAGCAGAAAAACCTGTAGTCAATTCCAATTGTAAATAATGGTCTAACAATAATGAGAAACGTATATCAGCATTTGACGTAATGATATATGCAAAAATATATTCGTTAACAAGCTCTTTGTAAGGGCCATAGAAATGGCAAAATTATTATTTTAAGCGAGACTGTTGATATTCTTATTTCATCAACTTGTTTTGGCAAAATCTTATCTCCTTTAAGAAATCGTTCGTACGTAGAGCATGCTCTTGTCATAATCTTTTGTTGTAAGGTTATCATTTAGGCCATTTTCTAGTAAAATATCCAAAGATGAACTGATGTGTCAAATTCTAGAAGCCTTAGTTGTATACATATATGAAACTATACTAGTATATATTTTTACACTATAGCAAAATTTTTTACCAATTTTTATTTAGGAGGACATCTTCACTATAATAAACAGTTTAGATTTATACAAACCAATCACTGTGGAAGACCTAGATGTAGAAGACGATATGTACACTGAACGCTATCCAAATCTTCCTAGAATTGGTACCAGGGTCAAACGAGGACTTCACTGGACCTGGAAAAACCAAGATAGTAATGGGCCTGGAACAGTAGTAGGGCACTCTAAAAGATGTATGACTGCAAAACAAGAGCCCATATAAACATACATAAAGCAAACGAAATTATATTTTTTTGTATTTGTGTTTCATTGAAATGTTTTTGTAACACTTATCATATTAATTAAGCAAAATCATATTTTTAGTTGGTTGGGCTATCGTGGAATGGGACAATGGACTTCAATTGAACTATCAGTATGGATTTGATGGTAGGATAGAAAAGTATGACATCGCTTCCTGTAAAGAGCCAAGGATTTTAAAAAATGAATTAATTGCAGTTGGTTGCATAGTTTCTAGAGGTAGTATCTATGTCACAAATAAAGCTTTATTTTCTTTTGCCCTTTTCTTTTTGTGTTTTTCGGATCTTTCTATTAAATATTATTTGGAAAGAAAGAGAAAAGGTTAATGCCAATCATTCTCGATTACTTAAGGTCCTGACTGGAAATGGGGAGATCAAGATGGCGGAGAAGGAAATATTGGAACGGTATATAGAGTCAAACAAGAAGCTGTTGTTTATGTACGTAATGTGGATTTTATAACAAAATTCTTCCGCCAGAAAAATTAATTATACAAATGCAGAATTACCTTTATCTTTTTTTAACTCTGTGTAACAAACGACCTATCTGGAAGAAATGAGCATTGGCCTCTCCATACTGTATCTAGTTTATTGTGCTCTTTTAAAAAATCTTTTATGATTAAATTTTAAAAGTACGGTGTGGTTTGGTAGGTTAAATGGCCGAACGGCAACCGTTGTAACTACAGATATGGATACAAAAATAAGTATGATGTTCTACTATGGTACGTTATTTCTTACTTTGTTCGCCGTCGAAATAGGATTTTTAAATAAGTATTTCATTTTTGCTTGACAAATAAATGTTATTTGATAGTAAATGCTCATTATTTATTAATTATTTCATTCAGTGATCCATTTGAAGCATCGTATCAATCCAAACGACGATTGATTCATTCTGAACCTCCCACAGGTAATAGGCAAACACGCAGATGTGATTTTGTTAGTTTTTTCTAGAATCTATTTTTGAAAGTAGGTTTATAATAAAGAGTTTCTGTAAAGGTATTAAATTTATAAGTTGAGTAATTTTTATCGTGATTTTGCAGCATCTCCTTAATCAAGTACAAAGCTAAATGTCATATATACACATAAATAAGAATGTCAAATCTACACTATTTTATCATTAACATCCAAATATCGTACACGCTGAATATAATACATTTACAGTATTTACGTCTTCTAAGAGAGTAATATTTTATAAAAGTATGTGAGTGTCCGTTTTTATTGACTTCCGTCGACGTTTAAAAGATGGATTCAAAAACTCAAATAGTTTACTTTTAATAAAGATTATACGGAAGGGAAAAGAGAAAGTGAATTGAAATCATATTCAGCAACAAATGGCTTTGACCACTCACAATCTCACAGACGCACAGAATGCAGCTCCAAGAGTATTGAATTGGACGAGTCATTAAAATGTGAAATATTGTATGGATGTAACGAAAACAGTTCATGTAAACGGTCAATGGACCGTAGATGGCAGTGGAAAGGTTCTTCTGGAAGATGGAACGATTATAGTGATGAAATAAACGATAAAATAGAAGACTGTTACAGAAGAAAGCCTGAGTCATCCGTCGTTACCAATTTAGAGGGACGCCTGTAAGTAAAATAACTGCTTAGTTTGGTTTAAATACTAGTGAAAGAATTTAAAGTTCATATTCATTATGGTAATTAATCATTTGACAAATCTCGTATACATTTCATAACCGATAGGTTTTAAATGATTTAATTCCATCTGTTTTTTTTTTAAATGTTATGTAATCTATTCAGTCAAACTGAAGATGTGTCTAAACTTGAATTGTATTCTCCTTTAGATGCAGGATTATTTTTGACAAGAGGAAACAAATTGACACCATTTCCAAATCAATAACAGATGTTAGAAGCAGTTGGGACGATTAAACATTAACGAATGTTTTGAGACATGATAGTTTAGATACACGTTGTATATCATAAAAATTGTAGTGGTATAATAATCAATTTAGACATTTAGTCTTTTTGTCTGAGATACCGGGTATATGTTATAATAACATTTGACAATGTAAAATGATATGTATACTTTCTTTTTCTTATGATATGAATATAAAATAATGTTGACATTCATATTTTTATGTTGATATTATACATGTAGGAATACCAATATTTTCACTGAAATTTGTAAAAAGGTTTGGGAAAAAGAACATAAATACTTGATATTTATATTAATCATAATTATGGCTTTCTCTTACGTTTTTTTTTTTGTGACCTTACTTTTGTATGTTAAGCATTTATTGAAAGAATATTACTACATATAGTTGTCTGTGTTAACACAAAACCAATCTACAATCGTATACCTCTAACCATAAAATATCAGATATTAATTGCATTGAAATATAAATTATGTAATAAATTTGTAATCAATTCTTCGTTATTCATGCTTTGAATTTTAAGACAATTTGTCAGGTCTTTTGCTACAATGTAATTATGTTACTTTTATTGTAGTGCATTACCGTTTGTCTCCGAAATTGCAATTTATTCGACTTTAAACAGCTTATTTTTTTAATTCATTAATACGTTTTATTCCGATAGCAAAGACTTACATTTTCTTTTAAAAGGTCATTTTAAAATGTTTGACCTGTAACATTACTTCGCTTTGTGGGACATGATTATCCAATAAGTATACTCTGGTCAAAGGAGATTATAAAATTTGTATAATTTTTGCAGAAAATCAAACTCAAATTCGATACGCAGTTGTCCAAAAAGTTCGTGGACAATGACGTTTTTGTTTTTAAAAAAGTGGTTCTATATGCATCTTTTGTATATCAAAATATTTCTTATGCAAAACCAAGTCAGAATGATTTATTATTTATTGATGAAACTTAATTTTTTGTAAAAATCGGGGTCTTTAAAGAACACAGATAGTGCGCACAGATTAGTCTGACGTTAGCTAATTTCATTATAACGTCAAACATTTTGGATTTTGACTTTACACATGTGTATGGACACACACTACATTTCTTTTTTAAAGGCGCAACGCACTTTCAAGTGTTAGCATTAAGTTTTAAGTATAGATTATAATTTATTCAATTTTTAAAAATTCAGAACAATGCACAAAAATTTACGAGGGTCATCTAAATAAACAACAGTTTGTATACACAAAGTGCACAGCCCAGACAGACGCTGTGCTAGATTTATATCAACGTCATGAATAGAAATCTCCAGTTTCAGTAAATTACATGTAACTATCTATAAATTCTTGTATTGTCTTCAATTTTGTACAGTCACACAGTTGAAAAATCGTATATACCGATTTTAAATCAATACACTATATGTATTTTAATAATTTTGAGTTGTTTTAACAAATATTTTGTCTCTTACGTCGTTTCAACCGTATTGAAACTTATTTTTTGATCGGACGCTGCCCCGTGCCAACGGCCAACGTCGCTTTTTTTTTTTTCGAGTTTTGACACATACCCCGGGCCCCCCGGTATTTGTTAGGGTTTTTGTTTAGTATTTGTTCTGTTTATATAGTAAGCGATATTTAAGATATCATAAAATGATTAAAGCCTCTATTTTTGTGTTGCATAAAATCTTCATTAATTTTTGACTTGTTTTATATAGAAAATAATTATTTTAATCCGAACACTTTATATTAGAGTTTATGTCATTTTAACCTTGGTCCGTGTACACTATCTGCGATCTTTCAAGACCCCGATTTTTATAAAAATATTACGTTCCATAAAAATTAAATCATTCTGATTTTTTTTTTCATTAGAAATATTTTGATATACAATAGATGCATATAGAACCATTTATTTTCACAAAAAAGTCTTTGTCCAAGAACTCGTCTCGTTTAAAGTCATCATTTCTTAAGTTATACGGTCAATACAATGACCTTGTCAGCAAATACAGTTTATCATTGAGTCAAATGCTGACTGACATTTTTCATACCAATTGTTAGTCCATTATTTATACACTAAATTGATGACGGAGTCTTTCCATTATTTCCTGATCATGACAAGTAGCACACGGCGGGTGTGACCGGTCGGCAGGGGATGCTCACTCCTCCATGGCCCCTGATCCCACCTCTGATGTTTCGGGGGTCCGTGTTTGCTCTGCTCTTATTTTGTATTGTTTCATGGATTTTGAGATTGAATACTGTGCGTTATCTGACTTATCTCCATATCCTTCCTTGGACAACCCTCGTACATAACAATTGATTTAAATATGTGCTACATCCGCCAAGCAAGCACACAATCTCAAAATTCAAAAATATGCAAAAACAAAAAAGTAGTGATTTTTTATTATTATCGAAATCAAATATAAAATAAGAAAAATGAGGCATTGGTCTATTTTTCTTCATATAATTTGTATGTGAATATTACTTTGCAACAATGTTGCACATTCCTCCATTGATATATTGGCTATAGAGATGTATATGATTTAATCAACTTACAATAAGTCCTACTATTGTTATTTACCTTTGACTATCCCGGGAAAGAAGTGGGTATTTGAAAAAAAAGATTAAAAATATATTACTGAGAAATTCTCATCATGTTTACCAAAACGCAACAGCCTGTGAAAAAAAATACACTTGCAAAATAGAAAGCTCAATAAAGATCAAATTTATTTTCCTAATTCGTGTCGTTTTTAATAAGATAAACAACATATCATGTACATAATATCATATTGTTGATGCAATTTGTTACATTTATTTGTTCTAAACAAACATTGATACAAACCTTAAAACATATAAAATGCGTGCCGTTTTCAGAATATTATTCCTCGTGGCGAAAACAGGAAGGGGCAATGGCGCCCTGCAGGTTAATAGTTCTGTGTATCGTAGCACTAATCGGCGTCTTAATACAAAGTATGTATTCCTCTCTTTCTCTCTCTCTCTCTCTCTCTCTGTGTGTGTGTGTGAGCGCGTTTTTTTTTTAATTTGCATATCTCAAGCAAGTAAAAAAAAAATATTATTCGTAAGGAAGTTTTCAATATATGAATTTTAATTTAGAGTAATGTTTCCATATACAAAACGTATTTTAAATTGATGTTTAATGTTTATTTTAGGTTCTTCCAGCAAAAATGTTGAGGACAGGGGTACTAATGTCAAAAGTCGTTCAGATCTTGGTAAGGAACATTGAAATTGATGTTTTTCGTTTCAAAAGAAAAATAAAAAAATGATTTTCATGAATTTACACCTTAATTCTAATAGGAATCTTTTACTAAGATAGATTTTAGTTAATTGATATTTATCTGTATCAGTTAAGTTAGGAACCGCGTTTATTTTAATTGTCTGTTTTAACTGTCGCACATTAGTAGCCGTGAAATGAATCTATATAACTATATTTGAATGTCCGAGGCATTTTCTCCATATTCCCATGGAAAGAATAAATAAAGAATAAATTAATATTTAGAATTACTGTCAGATAATGAATGTTTTAATTGCACTGTTTCAAATCAAATTATTATCATCAAATTTAAAGACATAGAAGAAGTGCCAGGAGTCGATGGAATTAAGAAAGATGACAACAAAGAAGGTATCGAACTGTTTGTTTGTCAAAAACTGTTTATTTTAAAGTAAAATGTTGAGTCCATATATTTATAGTTCATAGAGTCTTCTATCTACTTCTTCAGGAGAGCTGACATTGATTGACCGAGCCGTGAAAAACACAGGTTTAACAAAAGGTTATGTAAATTCTTTCAAGATTGTTCCTTGCAAAAAGATCCTACTTACCGGTATCATATGATGATTGTAATAGATAACAATAAACTTCCGAATTTTTCAAATATACATGTAGAATGTATACAAAATAAATATTTGTTATTTAGCAGAAACAAATGTAAAAATTCACAATCGGCAATACGGGTTTTTTAAATTCTAATTTTCATGGAAACTGAATTGTGAAAATTTTATCAGATGAAATCGAGGAGGTAGAAAAGCGAGGATGGAGAAGAAGATCTCGGCGTGGAAGACGACGCAGACGCTCTCGACGAAGGAGATCTAGACGAAGGAGATATAGAAATCGTCGAAGGAGAAATCGAAGAAATCGACGACGGAGAAATCGAAGAAGGCGATCCAGACAAAGGAATGGTCGAAGAGGTTCCAGAAGAAAGGGATCCAGTGGCCAAAGTGGTGGCGGTGGTGGGATTGGATCTCATATTGGATCCGCTTTTTCTGGAGGACTTGATGCAGTAAATAGCGGTAAATAAGAGACAAGTATATCGTACAACAGGTCAAGGTTTTTTGCTTTGTTTTTTTTTTTTACATAAAACCTGCCTTAAAAACTTTTCTTATCCATAAAGTAAAACAATTTCATATTTTTGTCAGCTTTAAATTAACACAGCCTTTTGAGATCTTTTTACACTAAACGTTAACAGTTTGATTAACTAATGAGTAGAATTTTTGTTTTCCTTTTTTTTTTGTGTGTGGATCAAATAAATATTTAATCATAAATATTGCTTATTGAAATTAAGACAATTTCTATAAGCAATTTTTATAATTAAAAAATTGAATCAAAGGCTACTTTGCTTTGGGTACACTGACGTTACTCCTATCATTTCCCACTCTTCACTTTTCAATCGGCCTCAGAACTCGACACTCAGGTAATTACATGAATGAGGAGAGCAGAATCAGCGGAAAAATAAAAAAAAATATTCAAGTTTTACATTATACCAAAAAAACTTTGCTAAGTAATATGTTGTTTAATTGCAAGTATTCAATGGCGTCTGTTGGACTTTTGTGAAGAAACTGACTTTTACAGTTGAGGCTTACTTGGACATTTAAACCTGCGTTGTGTACAGAGGTACTGAATTGAAAATAAATAAGAAAACATCCCATGAGGTGAAAAGTTATTGTATTCAGGGCTTTGAAATAATTTATCAAACAACAAAATATCATTGAGGGTACAATAACATTTATTTAGATACTTTATTAACGAGAAATAATATATCCTTTATTTTCAATAGCTTATACAGTGTAAGAAATGAAATAAAGAAGACACATTTCGGTAGGAAAATTCCGCAGGAGTTAGTCAAAACTGGAATGGAGAGTTTTGAGGGTAGGAATGTTGCCATTTCCTTCCTAGACAACGTAATATGATCTTTGAAATAACCCGTTATTATCGTTTTGTTAAATGTTAAGATCAATATTTTTTTTCACACAAGAGCTCCCGTATATTTTACTGGTGTAAAAGTAAGCCGTCAACTGTAAAAGTCAGTGTCTTCGCAAAAGTCCATTAATGGCAGTTTTTGAAAATGTTGATGTAAATGTGTGAACATTTAATTAAAATATCAATGGAGCTAATGATCTCAATCAAGAAGATTTTTATATTCACTTTCCCTACGGTAAAATATTGCAACGAAAGGAAGTTTTGTGTATTTTAAATCTATTATACAATATTTTATATCTTTATTTACAATTTTATTTCACAATTAAGGGGGCCGACTATAGTTTTATTGTGTGAAATCTACAATAGCGAAACTCTTCATTTTTATACCATATATAACTTACATTAACTTCAGTGTACATGCAAAATTTGTGGGAAATCTACCGTCCAGGTATTTTTGAGGGACGGTCTCAAAATACAGGTACATTTTTTATAGGATTTTATAGGAAAATGCCAAGCAAATTATACAAATACTACAATAGACATTTTGTTCAAACTATAATATTTGATAAGTAATACTATATTATACAATATATGTAAGAAACACAATATTCTACCGTCTTGTTACCAAAGAAGGCATCTCAGAATGCAAAAAATTAGCGCATTTTACTATTTTTATAGAGTATTACAAAATATGACGTGCACAATGGAATCACATAAATAACATAATAAAAATATTGGAGATATACACAAATTTCTATGTTTTAAATTTCAAGAGCGTATGTTTATTACTTTTTCTTTAATAATATTTTTATTACCCTTTCTTTAAGAGCTACAGATTATCATAACGTCTAAAACACAATGCAACAACGTCAACCTACCTGTCAATTGCAAAATCGGTTAAAAATCAGTTGTATCAAATTGTAATTACATTTTTACACCTATTATTTCTTAATTTTGTTTGATTTTAATAATTAAGCGAAAAAAGTTGCATTAAAACAGTAAATACGTTTCATTTTACTATGATGCGCGAAATATTGCGCAATGGAAACTATAGTCGGCCCCTTAATTGTAAAAGTAAAGTTCAGTCTTTTAAAATGTGTTTGGACTTGTATGCAACATGGATTGTGGATGAAAAGAAATCACAGAATATGAATATGCCTTCAAATTTTCGGGACTTTCTGACTTGTGTGAAATTTATATTTTTTGATTGTAGGTTTAGATCTAGCAAACAACCTCAGTCCCGGCAATAACGACAATTACCCTGACGATGCTGATCAGAACACGGACGAGGAAGAGAATATTTACTAGACTAAGCATGAGAATAAATTACATTTAATCGGTTTCCTTATTTATCAGATTTGATGGTTTTCCCAAGAAATGCCATTTTAAAAAATCACAATTAACCGATAAGAATACAATACGTTTGTCTGTGAAATCTTTACGGACACAGTGGATTTTAACAGCATTTACACTATGTGCTCTGCCCTAACACAATAATCCATGCCCAGGGGCCCATGGTTTTCGAACTTATTGCAAGAGACAACCTTGCCTTTTATAACCAAAAACTATATTAATCTGCTAAATACCTCAGGCAAAGATTTTCCAACAATTAATGCAGTTTACTTTAGTTTTTAATAATCAATACAGCCCTAACAAAACACTACTTGTAGAACCCCTGTCCTTGAAGCATATTCACCCAGAGATGTCATGAGTATTAACCAAAATAAGTTGAAATTGGTTTCATGGTTAAAGATTTTAAAATATTAAGGAACGACGGTAAAGCACAGAGACGGAAAAAAAGGTAGCACAATTGAAGATCACCTCAATCACTTGGGTACAGTGCAAAAGATAATGAATCCATTATTGATATAGTTCTCAGACATTTATCTGTATTTTTTAAATTTGATTCTGTATCCGTTATGTATTTTTTTTAAAACAGGATGTCCATTGAAATATTGTATGTTTCTTTTAGGGCGGGGTGCATGGGTTGGGGGAGGGGGGGTTAAGATACCGTAGAGGTGATTTTATCTTGGAATCTTGGAATCGTCATCGTTGGTAGCGAATCTCGTGGATTTGTGGGACACCATTACCCACCACTTTGAATCCCTACAAACAAAATTTGTACAAGTATCGATTCAATTAATCTTTTAATATATTTGGATATCCAAGAAATAACATACCTACAAACCAATTGTTTGTCGATGAACATTGGTCTACAAGATTTTTATGATTCCACATTGATTCCGCTATTATAGTGATATATAACTTTTTTACAGAGTAAGATATACATGTATTTTCAGCCCCTGGTTTTTTTCATTTTTCACAATAGGCCTCCATACCCGCTGCCACACAGACTAAAAAGGTCATTCCTACCGTAAATTCGACAGTCGTAGTTCAATGCAGATTGAAATTTATTTAAATCGGATTAATTTGTTCACATGTGTGAGAGAAATTGAGATTCAGACTTTCTTGAAAGCTACCGCACTCAGTGCAAAGTTTTTATGCCCCCATTCAAAGAAGGGTGGGCATGTTGCTTTGCTGCTGTCAGTCGGTCGGTCGGTCTGTCGGTCCACTCAGTTTCCGTTCATTTTCTTTACAATCGTTGCACATATTGAAATGAAATTTGGTATACAGATATATCAGATTAATATCTAGGTCAAGTTCTGTTTTGGGTACGATCGCTCTTTTTTCATATATGCCCCTCCCAGATAGCATGACTATGTTGGGCCAACACTGGTAAAAGGTTGTATGGGTGGCGTTGGGGAAACAACATTGGGCCAACGTTGGACCAATGTTACCATGTCAACCTTCTTGACCATGACAGAATTCCAATGTTGGCCCAACGTTGGTCCAACATAAGCAATTTTCATTCACTTTACTTTCCAAGGAAGGAAGGATGCTGACGTTGGCCCAATGTTGGTCCAATGTATACAATACAATCTTAAAGAAAGTGTCTTTTCAAATTGGTAGTAGTATGTAATTACAATCAGATCCAAATTAAAGACACTTATTAAAAGATTGAGGGGCAATATGAGAACCATCTATCCTTCTGTGTTCAATAAACCAGAAGTGGAAAAGAGTTTGATAGATTACATGATCATTACGAACTGGTCCCTGCCGACAAAGCAGGTAACAACACTGTCTTCGTTTCTAAGGTTCATAATATAAATTGTATTCTAGAAGAACTTGGATTTAATTCTACCAGTTATAATCCTACTTATACTCATACTTCCCTTTCTAAGGAAAAAATTCTTCAAAATCATATGTCAGTTTTGAATATTTTTAATATTCCACAGAGCCAAAATGAATTTAAACCCTTATATATATATTGGATTCCGAAACTTCATAAGAATCATTACAAACAAAGATACATTGCGGGTTCCAGTAAATGTTCAACCAAGTCTCTTACGTTACTCATATTTAATGTTGTCAAATTCCAAGATTGTTTTTTACCAAAAATATTATATATAAAAACCAGACACTAAATGGGATCTTAATTGGATGTCTACTCCGACGGAAGATGGTGAAAACCATTCACAGGCAGAATGCAACTCTAAAAATGAAAATAAGGGATCGAGAAAATATGAGAGTCGTGAAAAAAGTTTAAATGGACATACCCCGAATCGCCGATGGCAATGGAAAGATTCTTCTGGAAGATGGAACGATTATAGTGTTGAGATAAACGATAAAATAGAAGACTGTTCTAGGAGAAAACCTCAATCCTCTGTTGTTATTAACTTCAATGGTCGTTTGTAAGTAGTTCTTACTGCTTAAAACGTTTGAGGAAATGAAATATATTTAAGAACGAAATCCTTTATATACTGAAACGTATTTTAATCACCGCATATTTTATTATTTTTTTTAACCGGCGATTTCAACAGGTCATATTTTCATTTTCAAAGATGCAGGGTAATATTTCAAAAGAGGAAACAGATTGACACGCTTTCCAAATCAATAACAGATATATGACGCAGTGAGGATGATCAATAAATTCTTAAGTTTTGCAATGAGTTATTGCTGTCCTTGATATATGTTGTAGACATTTATTGTGAATAAATTTAGAACTACACTAACTCGCTTTTCATTGCGATACTAGGATAATTAACCCCTCCCCCTGAATACGCCGTCGTTCTTAGTCAGATCATTTATATGAAATTTAATATTAACACATTATGTAAAATTTTAACCATATAATTTGTTCATGTCTGCAGTTTTATTTCATTTGTTCAAATGAAACTCGTTTAGTTGCAAAGTCTCCATGTCTTGTCAACAAACAGTTTTGAATTTTAATTAGATAATCTATTATATTATGATACATGTACGATTTCATATTTCAATTCATATAATTTGGATTTTTTTAATGAATTTCAATCAACTGCGACTTTTATATGACGATACATAATACATTTAAGAAATGAATTTAATTTTCGAAGGTTCATTATCGGCCGCAGCAGCGGCCGATCTATTTGTAGTTGTGTTAGAAAGTGTGCATGGGGAAATGAGATGTTATTTTTTTTATTAGTTCAGTAATATAATTCTTAAAGGACAACATAAATAAAATCATGAGTAAAATTTTTAAAAACTTGCTTTAAGCTAAGTTTTAATAGTTGTTATTTTGTTTCAATTTCATTATCATTTGACATCAGATAATTGATAATGTATGGTTAAATAAAAAGAGCTTACAATAGGTACTCCCCGTCCAGGGAGTGTGTAAGATAAGAAAGGAAATCGTTATGATTTTCCGAATAATAATGACGTGCACGTGGTAAAAGTGCATGGTGACTAAACATTGAAAAGTTGCTCCACTAGTAAAAACTTGTTTGAAAATCCTACAGCTGCGAATGACACAAAGATTATTTTTACACATTTTGCACCGCACCATGCAGCATAGCCTACTCTGCAGAAACCATATAGGCATTATCACGTGACAAATAACCAGGGTATCAGCACGTGGTATATCTTGAAAGGCATATATCTTCGTTTTGATGACAGTTATTTCTCATATCATAGGCGTCGGAACCGAGGGGGGGTTAGCTCCTCCCACTTTTTTTGCAAATATATACATTATATAGGCATTAGAAATGGGCTTTACCTTTTTTTGGTTTACCCCCCCCCCTTTCAATTAGCCACCCCCACCCCACTTTCGATTTGCTTCCGCCGCCCATGCATATTCATTATAGACTTTTTTACATCGAAAAATCCATTGGATGAGCAAATGCACTAAAATTTCTATAGTTTAAAATTTATTTTATTCATTGCATTGGATTGAACAGCAGGCATGATACTAAAATTTCTATCAATTTTTAAAAAAAAAAATCATCTATTTATTTTGCTTTGAAGACGGCCTGAAATTAAAATGATCACTATTTCAGCTTTGAATATCCTGTACTTTTCTTGCATGAATGCTCTGAACTGTGAAAGTACTTTTTTGACATGTTAAATATGTTAGCGGTCGATTTGATGCTTTGCATCAATTAACTTGTGAGATTATGAACTACGACGCTTCACCCGGCATATTTTATAAACAAAACAGTGTGCACTATATTTTTTGACGTCAAGAGCGGTATTATGACGTAACAATGAAGATATTCATTCATATTCGTGATACATACCTAATGTAGTTCATGAGAAAATCATGAGAAAACATACTGCATTTTATTTTGTAAAGAATCATAGGGGAAATTTATTGGAAATGTAAATATTATGACAAAAATCATTGTACATGTTTAATAATCATGTTCATTTTGTTACAACATTAAAAGATTCTCTTAATTGATAATCAGTATATGTGTTGGTCTGTATTTTAGCAGTGCCAGTATTTTCGACAGTAAGGACGCTCTAAACACTGCACACTAAAGAGCTCTATTTATTGAATAGTTTTATACAGTTAGAGTGATCTGCCCTTAGATTGATTGATTGATTGTATATTGTTTAACGTCCCTCTCGAGAATTTTTCACTCATATGGAGACGACACCACTTGCCGGTGGAGAGCTGCAAATTTTGTTCTATACTCAGCACTCAGGGCCATTGAGCAGGGAGAGATCTTTTTCGTGCCAGCACCTACTGCGACAAGGGACCTCGGTTTATTCGGTCTCATCCGAGGGACTGGTCTCCACGTCCCACAGTGGGTCTGCCCTTAGATGTAAAATTAAAGAAATTGTTATTACCGTTAATTATACATAATTTATAATAGAATAGAATATTTTTAGCATTATATAAGACCAAGAGTGAGAAATTTAATTAATTATTTTCATTAATTCTCCGAATATAAGTAAATAACAGTGATTTCTCCTCAGAAATAGTCCGTTGTCTTTGAACATTTTTCCTGCGCAAACAAGGCCCGTACCCTATGTTTTAAATGAACGATAAAGTCTCAATATGCATATCTTTATATGATATATTTTTCTCAGAGTCGAGAAAACATTTTCTGTTAGTGTTAAGAGCTTCCTTAAGTGTAAAAAATAAAGTATAATTTAGATTAAAATACTTCAAATCTTATGTAAGAAGGATATGGAGATAATGAACAATATTCAGTCTCAAAAGTCCATAAAACAATACAAAATAGGAGCAGGGCAAACATGGACCTCAGAAACATCAGAGGTGTGATCAGGTGCCAAGGCGGAGTGAGCATCCCCTGCTGACCGGATACACCCGCCGTGTGCTCCTTGTCATGGTTGGGAAATAACGGTAAAAACCGTCGTCAATTCAGTGTATAAATGATGGACGAACAATTAGTATTAAAAAAAAAACATCGGTCAGCATTTGAATCAATGATAAATTGAATTTGCAGACAAGGTCATTGTATCGACCATATAGAAGTTACGAAATGATGACTTTAAACTAGACTATTGATATTTTGTTTTATCAATTTCCTTGTCAATGATTTACTTCGTTTTAGAAATTGTTCATACGTAAAGCATTCTTTAGCATATCGAATCACCTGAGGTATATATACTCCGTATATGCAGGTGATGAATGTATATTGCTGCATACGTAAGGGAAGTTGACGATAGAAAAGTTAAAGTCATCAAACACATTTTACTTATACATGTTCGACGCGGGTTACCCTACGTTATCAATTACATTATATTATTTACAAAAAATAAACAGGTCTATCTGATATACTGTAGGGATACCTTCATTTTATGCGAAAAATTGATTAACAAGATTAAAAAAATTGATATCATTACTTAGTGATAATGTACATGTGTGTTTTGAATTTTAAGAAATAAATATGAGAAGAATCACGTACTCCTCCATGGCACCTGATCCCACCTCCGATGGTTTGCTCTGCTCCTATTTTTTATTATATACCTAATGTGTATCACCCAATTTTACTGTTGAATTTACGCTATCACGTGACGTCGTGATCCGATTTTCCAGATCACCGACATGTTGTTTTCTGAATCCATATCACCACTCTCTGAAACTGATGGCGTAGTACGCAGAAATATGACGTTATTTTTCTTGCGCGTTAAAAAGTCCCTTGTAATTATGCTTTGTGTAATGGATTAATATCATGCAATTGATCTCTAAAGGTATTCTAATATATTTAGCTCGTTATAAGGGGGTATATAATAAATTTATCATTATAACAGTAACTTGATCCGAAGAGCAGTATCACTTCTCGTTGACAGGCGCGGATCATCAGATCAAACTCGACGCTTCGCGATCAAGTTATTGTTATAATAATATATATGTATTGTTTCATGGACTTTGATATTGAATACCTTTCATTATCTCCATATCCTTTCCTTAATACCGCCCCTCTTTGTAAGTAATTAGGGGTCATTGTGAACAATTTCACTCATTCCGAAATACATCAGCTTTTAGTGAGATTTTTTATATGACTGCTGACTGAACAAGTCTGCTGATTGCATGTTGGTGCCTATCATGTAACAAAACGTTTACTGTCAAGAAAATTAAATAAATGTACAGTCACTTCCTTATCCTTACCGAACAAATTTATTTTTCATAAAAAGCAAAAAGAGAGCTTTGGACTTAGTCTCAAAGGTTAGAATGTCGGCTTGATAAACAAAATCTTAGTAGAAATGCACATTGAATTTTGATAATGCTTTTTTTGTCATCCAGCTGAATATATATCTGTAAATTCTGTTCTAGATTTCCTGTTGATAATTAGGGACTCATACGGAAATATTTCAATTATAACCAAACTGAAGCAAACATGAAGAGATTTACAGCTTTTATAAATAACGCAAATGAACGGTTACTATTCCTGTTTCTAAGAATAAGTGAACACACATTTCTCCTATGGCTGGTCGTATTGGGGGACATTCTCTGGCAAGAAGATTGAGTAGAGAATCTAAGGAGCGTAAGTTATCCTATACTGTAAGTGTGAGAAAGCTATAAAATCATGCTTAATATTCATATTTATTGCAGCATTGTAGATTCTGTATTTTTTTTTTGTCTTCTCTAATTTAAAATATATGCTTCATCGAATTTGTAATTGTTCTAGAGTCGTGACCCCTTTTTTTCCTCGCGTATATCGCAAAATCTTGACCCTATTGCACCAAATTTGACCAGAAAAAGTTTCCTCTGGATCGCTTTTATAATATTTTACAACTGCTGACGATAATATGGTTAAAGTAGGTAAAAAGATGTGGTCTAAATTTCACCTCATTTAGCATAAATTCGTTATTAGAGGGCACATTAGAAAACAAGAGGCCCAGGGGCCTTATAGGTCACCTGAGTATCATGCGACAACTTTCCAACAATTGAATTTGATTCATGTTTTAAACTAAAGGCCATGAAATTCACAATTTTGAAAGAGGCACGATTGCTTATCATAATTATACACTCAGCATGCTTATTTTGGTTACTTAATACCCAGAGGTAGATCAGAGTAACAAAGAGAAAATGCATTTCCACTTTTAGTGAATTTCAGGGACCCTGGATCAAGGCTTCTTGTGTTAGGGCAGGTCCACAGTTGAGCTCTCCATTCCACAGGAACCACTGACCCTGGTGCCACATCTTTCAAAATTTTTGAAATTTTTTGAAATTTAACTTCATCATGCTGTTGATAAATACCAAAGTGCAGATTTCAAAGCATTGAATTATTTCAGACTATGCCCCCCCCCTAAGAACCTCTGTCCTAGGGGCCAGGAAATTAACCATTTTTGGAAGAAGCAGGTTTTTTGTCAAAAGTATATACTAAGATCATTGGCATTTTACCCAACAACAAAGGAAAAGATTTTCAAAGAATTCATGCATTTTCACTATATTAACATTAGAGCCCAGCCCAAACACAAGAAGCCCTATCCCAAGGACCCTGAAATTCAAAAATCTTAAAGAGGCATCCTTCCTCCTCATAAATATGTACATACAGCTGTAGTTCACTGGTTAAATACTCAGGTGCAAAAAAGAAGAGTTTTAAAGAATTTATGCATTTTCATTATATAATCAATAAAGCCCCGCCCTAACACCAGAACCCCCACCCCGGGGCCATTAAATTCACAATTTTGGAAGAGGTAGCCTTATTCAACATAACTATGTACTTGGTTAGGTTATTTAATACTCAGGAGCAAAGAAGAAGATTTTCAAAGAAATTATTCATTTTTTACTATATAATCTATATAGCCCCGCCCTGGCACTAGAACCCCCTGACCCTGGGGCCATGAAATTCACAATTTTGGAAAAGGCGGTCAGTTTCAACTTACCTACGCACTTGGTTAGTTTATTTAATGCCCAGTAGCAGAAAAGAAAAATTTCAAAGACATAATGCATTTTCACTATATAACCTGTTTAGCCCCGCCCTATCACCTGACCCCAGGTCCATGAATTTTACAATTTTGGTAGAAGACTCAATGCTGATTACAATCATACTTACAGTTTGACTGCTTAATGTCCCGGAGTAAAGAAGAAGATTTTTAAAGATTGCATTTATTTTAGTGGTTTTCCCCCACCCCCCAGGCCCCAGGGGGACAGGGACCATGAAAATCACAATTTTTGTTCCCCTTCACCCACAGATGCTATATGCCAAATTTAGTTGAAATTGGTTCAATGGTTTCAGAGAAGATGCTAAAAATGTTCAAATGTTAACGCACGACGCACGACGACAGACAAAAACAGATAGCAATAGGTCACCTGAGTTTACTCAGGTGACCTAATAAAATCTAAAATATATTTTTCTTATGGCCTATCTCAAGTGTATTGATGGTAACATTTGCATAATTTTTATTAACACAACATAATTCATTTATCCAATTCGGAATTTTCGGCTTATATAATAATAATTTCCGCTGAGGTCACGACCCTAGGACCCGTTATTCAAAACGGCGCTAGGTAACCATAAGTTTATTTAACCACATGTAAAAAAAAATCATTAAATTAAGACATAGTTTTTCAAAACTATCAGTTAACCTGAAAGAAAATATTGCTGATGTATGACTTTACTAAGGCATGACTTACGAAATAAAACAGCATTTCAAATTTATTTACAAAACGGACAAAATCAGATTGAGGTTATGACTCAAATGGGCGTTGGAAGCAATTAAAGTTGGGAATGGGATTCACCGGGAATGGGGGGGGTTAATTGAAATGGGGGCTAATGGAAAGTGGGGGTTATTGAAAATTGGGGGCTAATTAAAAAATTGGGGGCTAATTGAAAGTGGGGGGGCTTATTGAAAGGGGGGTAATTAAAAGCTGGGGGCTAATTGAAATTTTGTGGACTAATTGAAAGGGGGCTAATTGAAAGTAGGGAGCTAATTGAAAGGGGGCAAAATGAAAATGGGAGGCTAATTTAGAAGGGGGAAAATTGAAAGTAGGGGGCTAAACAAACAAGAACAGTTAAACCCATTTTTCAATGCCTATATTATGTATATCTTCGCAAAAAAAGAGGGGGCTTTGCCCCCCCCCCCCGTTTCCGACGCCTTTGTCTTATGGACCTCCGAGGATAATTATCACTATTTGTTTAAACTACGTTAAACTACCGAGCGTGTAAATCTTAAAAATATTGCAAATGTATTATATTTAGCGCGTACGATATTTGGCGGAAATTGGACTTTGAACAAGTTAGCGTGGGTTTGATTTAGCGCATATCTTAAATGTGCTTTCTCATAGGTATATGTGCGAGGAATTTAGCGTTGTACTTGAATTAGCGGAGTTTGCTTTCCGCCAAAAATCGCTAAAAGGATACATAGCCAAATGTAAAGGCCCTTTCACAATTGGCGCACGAGCACTTTACAACACTTTGCGATGGGAAAATTTTAGCTTCGCACAAGCTATCGCATACGTTGCACGATGTCTCGCATTCATTGCATGTGTTTTAGTGGTCACATCAGGTCTCCTCAAAATAGTCAACATGCACACTATTCAGACGCGACCAAATGCGATCCAAATTATCGCAATTCAACGCACGAATATTAGTACGAACGTTTTAAAACGTTTTATGTACTCATAAGACTGATGCACGATTTTTAAAGATCGTAAGATTAATCGCAGCTGTCTTTGTGTGTGTTTTGCGACCATGAGACTGTTGCTCAACATGTCTCATGTAATCTTGCAACGTTTTACTACCATTGCTTGATTTATTACCTTCAATTGCAATGCTTTGCAACAGGTATATATCATACCGTGTATAATTATAAGCATCTTAACTATGTCAACTGAAGAGCGTCGGAAACGGGTGGTATGTATACCCGGCCCTCAGAACATTCGAACTATGGAATGCATGAGCGCACGAGCAGTCGTATTGTCTCACGTTCAATCGTCCAATTACCTGATCAGTCGTGCAATCCTATAGCATTATCTTACAACACTTGCTTTCATTCTACAACAGTCGCATCTAGATGCAAGATATATCGCAAGATTTTATGCACAACAGTCGCTTTAGATCGTGCGAATTTCGTACGAACACTTTTTTCATATGCGATTATTTTGGCAACAGTTTACGATCATAAACAAAATATTCGGTCGCGTGAATATTTTGTCGCTTCTGCTCGTGCGCCAATTGTGAAAGGGCCTTAATAATTTTACAGTACATTTAGTTTGTCACATTAAATACATGAACATGTATTCATCTAGTTTATATAATTTTTCAAAAAGTACAAAACTTATTGCAATTTTCAGCATAGAAAAGAACTCAATAATATACAAGAGATGTTTGTAAAACACTTATGCCCCCTCCCCCAATTGGATTTTTTCTAAGTCCAAAAGGACGAAACTCTGTCTAAAAGGTGCGATCCTACCCAAAACAGAACTTGACTTAGATATTCAGCTTAACAATCTGTAAACTAAATTTCATTTCAATATGTACAACCTCTGTAAAGAAGATGAATGGAAACTGCAAATAAGTGGAATTTTTCTAAGTCCAAGGGGTATAACTCTGTCAAAAATAGTGCAATCGTTCCCAAAACAGAACTTGACCTAGATATTCACCTGGTAAACATGTATATCAAATTTCATTTCAGTATGTGCAAATCTATGCAAAGAAAATGAACAGAAACTGCAAATAAGTAGAATTTTTCTAAGTCCAAGGGGCATAACTCTAACAAAAAGGATACAATCGTACCCAAAACAGAATTTGACCTCAATATTCAGCTGATAAACCTGTATACCAAATTTCAATGTGCAATGTATGTGAAGAAAATGAACGGAAACTAAATGGACCGATAGACCGACAGCAAAGCAATATGCCCTCCTTCTTCGAAGGGGGGCAAAATAATCAGTAAAACGATAAAATTTTAATTTTACTTCTTATCGAACTGAATATGATTTGGATTTATTATGAAAATATATTTTTATGAAGATCGAAAAAGAAAACAAGAAGAAGGCCGTGGAGCATGCAATCTTTTCATATTGGATACATCAGAGAGCATGAAAGGAGAAGGGTGCCGACAAATGCAGAAGGCTTTTGCATCCATTATAGAAGGCATATAAGTTTAAAATAAATTCTTTCTAAGTTTTTTATCACCAATATTTCAGAATAAAAGGGAGAGTAAATAATTAAAAAATATATTGTTTATTCATAGGATACGCAACACATTCCACGTTGGATGAAAATGTTGCAGTGATACAATTTGGAAGAGAAGTTAAATTTCTGCAATATTTTTCCAACAACTATGTTTCCTTGATGCGATTATTAGGTCAGAAAATGTTAATTTTAATCTGGAGTGCTTAGATTTGTGTGACGTTTCGTAATAATAATTCGGTTATATATATTTCAATGGTTTCTAATTATTTTGATTAAAAATAAATCATTTTTTATAGATGATTTGTCATGTTCTGGGCCATCGCCAATGATTGAAGGGTTCCTTTTAGCTATTTCTGCCTTGGAATGTGGACGTATGTTTCCTTTACTAGTTTAATATTGTTATTTTAATGGCTTAATCCTTAATCAAAACAATTAAAAGTATAATTATTCATAAATGCTTTTGTTTCAACAAATACATATGAAATATAGCGAAATAACAAACAGTATTCAAGGTCTTCAGTCCAATATTAAACGATTAAAAATAGGAGCAGATCAAACACGGACAACCAAAACATCAAAGATGGAATCAGGTGACATGGAAGAGTGAACATCTCATGCCAACCGGTCACGTCCGCCCTGCGTCCCCTGTTGGGAAAGAACTGTTTTTAAAAAGATACTCTGTTTTGTAAAATAAAAATCTGATGTAACATTTTTTTTATAGGACGGTTCACCAATATTGGTCCTTTTAACTGTAGAGCGAGAGTGATACTTATTTCTAACGGCAAAACAATTTCCTCGACCGACTTAGACTCAGAATATCGTGTTACTGAAAATGAAGATCAGGTTTTCAAAATGGCTTATTTTCTAACTTCGTTTAAATGGTATATGAAATGGAAAGATATAGCATGTGTTACTCAATATTTTTAAACATAACCTTTCGACTTTAAATTTTTTGAAGAATATTCAACTTTTGGATCTAGTACGGCGAATAGGAATCTATAATCCAATTACTTGCGTACCTGTCGGAAATGATCCTAATATTGTATGTTTAATTTATAGTCGGCTTTAATAAAACTTTTGAAGTTTTATAATGCATTTCCATGAAACAATTTGTCTATTATGTAACTAATCAAAAATAACATATATATTGATCATTAAATTAAAATTGATAGATATTCTTCAAATGATGTGTATCTGGTGAAATAATATCAATGTATTAATTTTTAAAGTAATTATCGCTAATATGGCATATGAGTCATCAGTGTCTACTTAACAAAGAGATTATCCTTAACAGAGCTTACTGCGATCCATTGCCTATGGATCTCGAGGAGGAAAAATTCTACATTATGAAGAAGCCACACAATTCGCAAAATATTCTCTGAACATGGTAAAGTACTCTTTATATTAAATCTTGTGTCATTAGAATTTTGTTTTACGTTTTAAGCCTTACAAGACTTCAAAATAGAAGAATTAAAGCTTTTCTTTTTTTTATAGATGATTGCTGGGGACATTCTCGGGGAGGTGCCGCCTACTTTCTGCACTATTGATGACGTGAAATCATTAGTATTTTCTACCAGATTTCAACATGTTGTCACAGAAAGGGACCTGGTAAGATATAATTAAACTTTTTCTCAATCACAAGACAGGAAAAGGAAAACAATTAAAGAAAAAAAAATGCTATTTGTTTAACATTCTACTAATTCGTAGTCGAATTGTTTTGTTTGGTGAAGTTTAAAACTGCTGAATAACATTTTATTTATTTTTACAACCACAGGTAAACTAGTGTTCATTCGCTTTAATTATCACCGTACATGATTTTCATGCAGTACAAAATTGTTTGTTTCTGTACCATTGTTTTTCAAATTAGGAAGATGTGGTGGAGATTTTAAACAATAGGCGTGTATATGAGATTAATGTATATCCAAATGAAGAACAGTTAGAACTCCATGAATATACTGAACGTGATGAAAGACTACCTCCACCAGGAACGCGAGTACGAAGAGGTCCATGTTGGCCTTATAACGATCAGAATTCAGGTGGATTAGGCACAATAATCGGACACTCACGTTATGGTAAGATTTGTGTTATTTTAATTTGACAAGAAAGAAATTTTTCTGATTTTCTGCATTGAGAATGCTTTTCTACAGATGGAGGGGTGAACGTTGAATGGGACAATACATTGAAATTTCCTTACCAATATGACCCCGATGATCAGAGGCTATGTAGCGTCATCGTTTGTGATGAACCGCGGATATTACAAAGAGAAGAAATCGCCGTAGGTTGTGTTGTTAAAAGAGGTAAAATCTATAAAATTGCCCTCTTAAGTATATAAGCAATGGCAATCATAATTATTTGTGTAAATACATAATTTGCGGTAAGCGCTCTACTGCTAGATTGCCGCAATGGGTAATTTCGTTCTCGCAGAATTTTTTAGTTTAAATTATTTAAAAGCTGTTTCATTATTTTACTAAAACACTTTTTTAAAAATAAAAATCATTTTGACTATTGGAGTTCCAAGGTGCAAAAACTGAATAAATGTGACTCTTTAATAAAAGGTCCAGATTGGAAATGGGGAAACCAGGATGGCGGTGCAAGTAATATTGGAGCTGTTTATAGAGTAAAGGAAGACGTGGTCTATGTAATTTGAAAATCTATCATTCCAGAGCAATTAAAATATGACGTGTAACTTTATTAAGTTATATTTATATTAATATTTTACATAAAAAATTACTTCAATTTACATGTACAATCAATTTCTTAATATTTTTAGGTACGCTGGCCAAATGGAAACAAAAGTAATTACAGATTTGGTTATGATGGAAAATTTGATATTGTAGTCTGGTAGGTTTTTATGATAATATACACACTCATTGTAACAATTGTTCCTTCGGTGACGTGGTAATTTTTTTTTTTGACGCGAATTAAATAATGTTATTCGAGAATGCTTTTAAGAGTGAATAATTTTATTTTACTTGTTACATGCCATTTGATTGGATAAAAGATTTTATACATTTTGGATAACATAACTTGCCTACGTCACAATGAGTTACGTCAAAAAACGTATTACTCCGCTTTACGTTACTTTTAAAATTTAATCATTGTAAAGCCTTATTCTGGGGAGACAATAATCTCATTGTCTGCGCTGAAATTAAATTATAAGGAATGAAGCTTATTTCAACTTATATTATACGATATAACATAACTTGGGGCAGTTTACGCTTGTTTATAAACCGCGAAGCGGTTTATAAAGCGTAAACTGCCCCAAGTTATGTTTTGTCGTATAATATAAGTTGAAATAAGCTTCATTCCTTAAATATTGGTAACAATTTATGATTATGCATTGGAGATTAGTTTTCTTTTTTCTTCAAAAAATCAGTTAAACTATTTCTTACTTATTTAAAGGAATCGATTTTAAGGACAAAGGGCAATCTGCTTCACGCCTAAATGCTCCTAGCAGTATATACTCTTAAAAAAAGAAACCCATAGTAGAATTTTAGTGGCACATTGAAAATAAAAGATTGTTTAGTAAAATTATGTATTTATAATACAGCAATTCGGTTAACAATAAGAATACTAACTAAATGTCATAATTACTCAAGAATTATAAAATCATATACAGTTTTAGATCATTAAAAATCAATATCTGGTATGCCCCCACAGACAAAATGATACCATCTAATGGAAGCAATTGTGTGTGATAAAAACTGTATAGGAATACTTACCCATTCCAAATGTGTAGAGCTTTGCTCGGTTGAAGCAGAATCTTGGAATGCGATTTTCTTTTGCAAAGCAAGTCAATGCATGGTTGCTTTGCGGGAATGGAGTGTGAAACTAGTCGTATGTAGCTGTGTATTGTCAGATTGAAATACGGGTCTTTGAAGCTGCAAAATTGAAAAGGCATGCGTAGATAGAACAGTGTCAGAGTACCTATTCCCTTCAAAGTCCTTTGAATATTAGATATGGTGCTGTTCATAACATTAAAACCTTTTGCAATTGTATACTGTGGTACACCTGCTTCCAGTCGCCCATTTTCTTTTTTTTGTGCAATGCAACATTCAGATGTAGCATTTTAAGAGGTCAATTTTCAGATAAAATTAGAACCCAGGTTTTGAAAGCCCCTTTGTGCACGAAGGAATTGCATCAAAAACCAACAAATGAAAATTAAGATTAGAATGTTTGGGGTATTTTTCAAAATCAGGATTTTTGACTGTGAATTTGCGGAATGGCTGTGATATTAAAAATTGCATTAAAAAATAACGCAATTTACTCGAATTCATCTAAAAAAAGGGGTATGCCAAAATTATCATACAGTTTTCAGGGTATTGTTTCTACTATGCGTTTCTTTCTTTTGAAGAGTATACAGTGAGTATTAAATCCTCGAATGCAAGAGTTGAATAAAAAGGGGTTTGAATTGAATAAACCATGTTTTTGTTTTAAAAATTAAACATTCTTTATCACTTTTTAGTGATCCATTTGACGTTAGCAGAATCGTCTCATCTCCTACATGCAAAAATCTTTCGAAATACATCAGTGACAGAGATGTTTGTGTCAAAAATGGAAGTCAAGGTAAAAAAAAAAAAGAAAAACTAAACACAAAATAAAACATATTTTTAAAGCAATATGAGCTGCATGTTTGACATCGGAAAAAATGTTGCAAATTTGTAATTATCTATTTCAATGACAGAAAAATAGAACATTTATAAACTTTTGTTGTTGATTTTTGCTATAAAAAACTTTTTAATACGCTTTAATTGAAGCAAAATTGAATTATTGTCGTCCTGTACAATAATGATTTCATATATAATACTGTGTATTCGGTTGTACAGAAATATTTCTTATGAAACATTTTTAAACTTTATTTTGGTTTTACTGATCATAAGGGTTTAGCTACATACACATTAATCATTATAACATATTTTACCAGCAAAATAAAATTCTGAAAAATGGAGCTCATATTGCTTTAAAAATCAATAAAAATTATCAGTAAAAGTTAAATGGTATTATTACACGTAACCTATGCAGAATTTTATAAACAAATAAAAGTAAATGGGATTGGACATCAGACAAAGACTAATTTAAAAATCTCCTTCTTGATATTACTTCATAAATAGTGCCCAAAAATCTTGCTTTTTTTCTAATCTGTTGTCTATCAGTAAAACTGACTTTTAAGGGAAAGTTTACTAATACTGCGTGTCAATTTGTTTAATAGCAAGAACAGAAATACAACTAGAGTCATTTGTTAAAAAAGAACTTTCACTGGATGGTAATCAGAGAATACATTCCAAATCAATAGAAGATTTAGATTGTGACGAAGATGATTTTTCATGGGAATGGAAAACCGAAAATGGTCAATGGAAACCTTTTTCGAAAACGGAAAATCAGAAAATTATCAAAGCCATCGAGAAGAATTCAAAATCAACAATACTAATAGAGATAGGCGAGCAAATGTAAGTTATTAAAGATCATTCAGCAATTTATTCTTGACTATAATGTGTTTTATATCGTCCTAGGTTTATTTATTGCTGCTTCTATATTTCTGCTTGGTAGGTACAGAGTGATATTATCAAAGATGACTTTGCTGAATATATTAACAAGAGAGACTTTTGATGTGAGGTGCCGTGAAAAATTGCAAGACCTACAAGCTTGACTTTTGCGTGAAGGATTCTCAAATAATGCTAGGCGGTATAACATCGCTTATTTTACTTGTAAATGTCAAAGTCAATATTAATATTCCATTCTCATCGATTTCTTAAAAAAAACAATGTGTGTGAAAAACCAATGATAGCAATTTTTTTATGATATCTGAATATTCAATTATTAAGGAATGAATTTAATAGCTACTCATTTTATACGGTATAAACTGGGTTGGGGCAGTTAACGCTTTAAAACTGCGAAGCTTTGTCACAATCTGAATTTGAAATGTTTATAATGCATTAAAATTTCACGTTCTCTTTTAATAGATGTACAAAATTTGAATGTAACATCAGACAGAATGATGCGTTTATTCATGTATTAAAAAAATTGAAATATGGAAACGTTTAACGTTATCTTAGTTTATCAACTTATCAAATTTTAGTGTCATCATTTGCATTTGAAAATATAAAAAATAATTGGAAATGCCAAATCATGATTTTAAAGAAATTTGTGAACGCAAAACGCTTTGCGTTTAATTGCAAAAGATTGCGATTAAACGCAATCTGTTGTGATTAAGTGCAATAATATTGTGATTAAACGCAAAAAAAATTGCGTTTAAACGCAATAATATGTTTGCGTTTAAACGCAATAATTTTTGCGTTGAATCGCAATAATATTTGCGTTAAAACGCAATAATATTGCGATTTAACGCAATTTTTTTGCATTTAAACCCATTAATCTTTGTATTTAAAAGCAAGCATTTCTATTGATCTTTGAAGAGTGCAATGGATCTACGCTGAAAGTTGTTTCTTTTTTCTTTTGTACATTAATCTATGAGGAACATTGTGTATTGAAACCTTTATAGAATCAGATTCTTCTGAACAAGCGTTTTCTAAATGGCTAAATCATTGTATGGATTAATAGAGGAGAAAGAAGTTTTGGTCTGTAAAAGCAAAGACAACCTTAGAAAAAAACAAAGCTTTAGCATTCAAAACTATGCAAACAATTTTAAAGGAATTTCGAAATAAAAGACTGGAAAAGAAATAATGATAAAAAAAAACTATCACTCAACGTTGCGGTCACAAAGTTTACACCATGTACCTTCATGTACCTTTATAAAGGACTTAAAGAAACGGCTGATGAAATGCTTAGACTTATGTATATGTACATGTACATATTATGTATATGTGTATTGACAACCTTTCTTTTGCGATTAAACACAGAGTGTTTTATAAAAAATATTTCTTTCTCTTAAATGGCCTCAACGGGCTTCCGTATTATTTTGCAATTTATGAATTATTATTAACATTTTGTGAATGAAAGTGAAGTTTGTGTTTTTATCCACCTCACGAACCATTGGTTCAAAACATTTTGAGGAGTATGTAATCTCTTTTGTACCCCTAAACAATCAGATCCAACAACAAGCGGCCCATGGGCCACATCGCTCACCTGAGCACTGTGGCTAGGAAAAAGTAGAAATTGGTCTATTATTGAAAAGTTTAAATCCAAAAGTAGTCCCATGACCATGGTTTTGCTATTCTTGAGAAGATGATTTTAAAAGAATTTTCCTATGTCTATGTAAAACTTTGGTCGGCCATTGTTGCCCCGCCCTACCCCCAGGGGCCATGATTTGAACAACTTGAATCTACGCTACCTGAGGATGCTTCCATATAAATATGATCAATTATGGCCTTGCTATTCTTGAGAAGAAGATTTTTAAAGAATTTTCCTATATATTACTATACAAAACTTTTAGTCGGCCATTGTGGCCCCGCCCTACCCCCGGGGGTCATGATTTGAACAAACTTGAATCTACACTACCTGAAGATGCTTCTTTATAAATATGATCAATCATGGCCTTGCTATTCTTGAGAAGAAGATTTTTAAAGAATTTTTCTATATATTTCTATATAAAACTTTGGTCGGCCATTGTGGCCCCGTCCTATCCCCGGGGGTCATGATTTGAACAAACTAGAATCTACACTACCTGTAAATGTTTCCATATAAATATGATCAATTATGGTTTTGCTTATCTTAAGAAAAAGATTTTTAAAGAATTTTCCCAAATATTTCTATATAAAACTTTTAGTCGGCCATTGTGGCCCCGCCCTACCACCAAGTGTCATGAACAAACTTTAATCTACACTACCTGAGGATGTTTCTCCATAAGTTTCAACTTTCCTGGCACATTGGTTCTTTAGAAGAAGATTT